GCCCTTTTTTTTTTTTTTTTTTTTTTTTTTTTTTTTTGCTTTTTTACATCCTGGATCTCAAGTTATGCTGGAGGAGGGGGACAGATAATTTTTCTTCTGGGCTACAAACAAAATAACTGGACTCTGGCCTCTGTTTTTGCCACCTCCAAAGCACTCAACACAGGTCTATTAAAGTCACTCTCTTGCTTAAAACCTTCACATACAGAACCGAGTTTCAAATCCTCAGCAGTCCCCTGGCCTTTCTTGGTCTGGCACTGCCTCTCCAGCCTGGTTTCCTGCCTCCCCTCCTCACGCTCTGTGCTCTGCATTCCATTTATTGCTTGGATACATGCTCTTCGGTTACCCTGTGCCTTTGCAATGACTATTCCTGCTCCCTGGGATGTACTTCTCTTAAATGGCAGACTCCTACAAGTTCCTCAAGATCCACTCTGATTTCCTCTGCCCTGACATCTCTCTGAATTCTTAGCACTTGATTTATTGCTCTATTGGAGTATTTATCACTTGGTTGCCTGGATCCATGTTATCTGGGGAAATAAAACTCAAGACGGATATGACACTACTGCTAAACTTTGTGGTTAACCTTAAAAATAATCATGAAGTCACAGGCCAGGGCCACCTCGTCTGAGCCACACTCTTAAAATGGAGACTGACTTATTTGGGGAGTCGTTGGGAACATTCCCTAAATGACAATCAAGACTTCTTTGACACACCCGTATCATTATTATCTCCTTCCGCAAGGAGTGAATGGGGTTACTAAGTCATAGTTATGATTTTGAGCAGTGTTGGACAAGACTTCTGGTTTTACTTAAGTGTAGAAGAAAACAATTATGCAATCCGTAAAGGCAGGTAATTATGCTACCTAAAGATTCTTGGATAAAGATCCCCCCACCCCGATCTTCTCCTTTATAAATTATAAACTGTGCTTGCTTACTATTTGGGAATAAACTTGTACGTAAAAAATCAAAATGTGGCCTGAAGACTCCAGAAAGTGAAGTCTCAGCCCTGATCCTTTCGACAGCTCAGTGCCCATCCCAGCCTGTCCTAGAGACCAGCCCAGCCCCACATTTGGGAGTGATACCTAGAAACTGCTCCCCATCAGACTCTTCCCTCAGCTGCTCACTCCTCCGGCTCTCTCGGGCCTCCCTCCAGCGCAGCTTCTGGATGGATGGATTTCGGAGGCATTTCCGAATGCGGCACTTTTTTCGCTGCACAGTTTCTGGGCAGGGTGCACCTCCAAACTGAGGCTCCATTTGGATCATCCGGGTTCGAATCATGTGGCCTTTCCCGCATGACTTATTACATTCAGACCACTGGGACCATTCGGTGAGCTCACAGTCAATGGCTGGCAAGACACAGATAGGCATGAGTGTATCTCACATCTGAAACAAGATCCAGTCACTTACACTCTCTTTTGAACCTCAATAAGCTTATGAGGAAAATACAAAGCAGGTTCTGTTATCCCTTTTTACAGAAGAGGAAACTGAGGCTCCAAGAGGCAGACTTCAGCCCACGTGGTTGGTAAGCAATAGAGGCAGTATTGGTGCCAGGTCACAGCCCACATTCTGTGACCCTTCTTTGGCTCAAGAAGGCTTTGGGGGACTTTGAAGATGTATTCAGAGCCTCCAGCCGTGCTCTTTGAGCTCCTAGAATACTGTCAAAACAGCCCCAAGTGGCACAGCTCAGCCTCACAATCTCAAGAACTTGGATTTTCTCAGGAAAAGCACAGCTCACCAGAGGTGTTTTTCAGAGCAAGGCTAACAGACCCCTGCTGCTTGACTCCTTTGGTTATGACAAGTCAACAAGCTAACAGGTGGTTGACCCCCTGGACCAATACCAAGGGCACTGTGGCTCTCACAGACACAGGCAGTTCTTCATGTTCTCGACATCATCCTGTGTCCTATATGTGGTGGTCTGTGCAAAAAACACAGGAGCCAGAGATGGGAAATTCAGTGGAGAAGAGGGTCAGGAGCAAATGGTATTTTATGGTTTATCATAGTATGAGACTTAGCAAATTCTTACTGAGCCAGTATCTCACAAATGTGAAGGGGAAATAACATCGGTCTGATTGTCAGGATGTGTCCTAGGGAGGCAAATGATTCCAAACTCTCCATTGGCCTCTCAAAGCCAGGGACAAGCTGGCTCTAGGAAGTATTCATTTTGTTCTATAGTTTCAGGCCTTTTTTTCCCTGTGGGAGCTCAGGCANATGAGACTTAGCAAATTCTTACTGAGCCAGTATCTCACAAATGTGAAGGGGAAATAACATCAGTCTGATTGTCAGGATGTGTCCTAGGGAGGCAAATGATTCCAAACTCTCCATTGGCCTCTCAAAGCCAGGGACAAGCTGGCTGTAGGAAGTATTCATTTTGTTCTATAGTTTCAGGCCTTTTTTTCCCTGTGGGAGCTCAGGCAGCTTTCTTATCTGCAAAATGGGGATAATGGTATTTTTCTCATTTGGTTGTGAGAACTAAATGAGATAATGCTCCCAGCCTAGTAAGTGCTCCATAAATGTTTATTTTCTCCCTTTCTTCAGTGGACCCCCATGGATATAGAGACTTAAGTCGGAAACTGTCTCAGAGAGCTCTGGGGCTTGAACTCGTGAGCTGGTTTGAACCATGGGTCAATTTTAGTTATTAAAAGCACCAGGCTTTCTTTAGCTGATGGTCTAGGTTATCTGCACACATAACTGAGCCTAGCTGAAACAGCTCAAGGATATCGATTGAGGCCTCTCCTTGCCAGGTCCAGGGCTCACACTTTGTGCCAACTACTTGGTTTAATACTCAAAGCAGCCTAGGGAGTGTTTCCTGCTATTTTACAGATGAGGAAACTGAGGAACAGGGATGATAAGTAATCTGCTGGTAAAGAACAGAGCTGGGATCTGAACTGGGGCAGACAGCCTGAGTACTAACAAGGGGAGGGACTACGAAGTGTGTGTTGGAAGAAGCCAGAAAATGACGATAGCAAGCAGATTACATCCAGCATGTCTGCACCACCTAAGAGAGCAGCTCTCTTAGAAGGGTAGCTGGAAAAACTGGCACTCTCTGCTTGGAGATTACTCCCCATGTAATAGAAACAGCTGAGCACAGAGATTTTGGAGGAGATGGGGGTAGGCAGCAAGGTTTTGAGAACTTGGCTTGTTTTCTTGCTGGTCTTTTTACCAGGCTGCAGCAGTCACTGATTTCATGTCCAGCTCTGGTCATGGGTAAATTAAATGGTCACGGGAGGAGAAAGAGAATTTTAAAACTCAGACAAGCCCTTAATTGGTGGTAGAAGGTGGAGAGAAAGAGCTAAGGTTTATTGAGCCCTGTGCTAAGTGTTTTTCATATATGTCTCCTGTTTAGACTTCACAGCAACTTGCAGTTTGTGTGTTTTGTAGATGGTAGTGGGATCCCCACTTTACTAGTAAGGAGACTGACTGAGGAGCTTAAATAACTGCCAAGACAGAGACTCAAACTGCATACTCCTTCTCAGTAAATAATGATCTAGCAGTATTATCACAGCCCAGGGTGGAAGGTTGTGGAGGGGGTGCTGGTTTGGGGCTGCCTGGACTCAGGAACACCGAAGCAGAGAAGTGGTGGGCTTCCAGAGCTTCAGGACTTACGGCATTCGGGCAGCATGCACTTCTCCACCTGCTCCAGCTCCTCGTTACAGTCTCCAAGTTCGGCCAGAGACTTGAGCATCCGCTGGCGGGTCCGCATACCCTTCCCACAGGTCACGCTGCAGTCACTCCACTCGGACCAGGGGGACAGCAAACATGGGATGGTATCTAGGTCAGGAGTCAGGTTTGCCACTGAAAACAGGCTCCCTTTGCTTTCTTTGATCTCCTTGGCCCCGCAGTGCCCCCACCCACCCACCCATCTCCCTGCTCTGGCCCCTGGAGCGGAGTGGAATTGGCTCATGGGTTCAAATAAGAATGAACTCCATGAAGCTCTTCTTGTCCCTCGCCTGCATCTCACCTGGCCCAGCTGTTGGTCATGGTCTGACATCAGATGAGTCTCAGTAATGTGAGTAGTAAGTCGCCACCTGCCATACCACTGAGAGTTTGTCTTACCAAAAAAGTAGCCCACACTCCGAAAGAATCACACACAGAAGGACAGGCTGGATGCTGCATTTTGGACACTTTGGTACTGAAATCCCTAGCATGTGTATGTACTTGTGTGCCTATATACATTAGTATGCCGATGTGTGGGTTATATGCATTTGTGCATGGAGTGGGGACGGTCATGTTGGCCTGCATCTCACCTGGCCCAGCTGTTGGTCATGGTCTGACATCAGATGAGGCTCAGTAATGTGAGTACGTAAGTCGCCACCTGCCATACCACTGAGAGTTTGTCTTACCAAAAAAGTAGCCCACACTCCGAAAGAATCACACACAGAAGGATAGGCTCGATGCTGCATTTTGGACACTTTGGTACTGAAATCCCTAGCATGTGTATGTACTTGTGTGCCTATGTACATTAGTATGCCGATGTGTGGGTTATATGCATTTGTGCATGGAGTGGGGACGGTCATGTTTTATGAGGCCACACAGGTCCAATGTAGAACAGGACTGGACTGGACCCGGGGAGTGTATGTACTGCCTAAATGTATTACCTGTCCCCACTGCCCCCAAAAAGAAGCTCCTATAAAACACAACTGTAGGTAGATTCCAGCTAGAGGCCACCAGTTTGCTACCCCAGCGTAGCTTAGACTTTCCCCCAAAAGAGGCCACTGTCTTTGGTCTGGCTGAAGTCTGCACACCTGTGTGTCTCATCTTGTTCCTAGCAGTGCTCTGCAAGGACGGTGGGCCACGCTTTCCCCCAGCTCCTGCCCAGCCTCCGACCCCGATGGTGGTAGTAGGGGGTGCTGTGGTCCTCCACGCCTGCCCCTGGTCCCTTCGCCCGAGCCTGTCCCACGCCCACTCACGGCACTCCGGCATCATGCACTTCTCCGCCTGGGATGTCTCGGCCTTGCACATGGAGCCGTCTGCCGGGCTCATCTTGACCATGCGGTGCCGCTTCTTCATGCCCATCCCGCAGGTGGCGCTGCACTCATCCCACTCGCCCCACTCGGTCACCAGGCAGCTGCTGGGAGCTGGGGAGTCCGGCGGAGTTGGAGCCTCGCCCGCCGCCTCGGAAGCCGCCCGTGCCCCCCGCCCGCCCGGCGCCCCCGCTCACCGCAGTCCTCGTTGACCGTGCACTTCTCCGTCTCCTCGGTGGGCAGCGTGCACACGGAGCCGTCCTCTGGGAACTGCTTTACGTACCGCTCCCGGGACCGCATGCCCGTGCCGCAGGAGATGCTGCAGGGCGACCAGGTGATCCACTCGGACATGGTGCAGGTGGAGCCATCTGCAACACACCGAGCGACGCTGCAGGGGACCTTCCCACGCGCAGGAACCAAGAAGGGAACCCGCCGGCATTCAAGGTGGGGAGTTAGGCAGTTGAGGATGGAAGAGAACATTAGGCGTCTAAACCTTTAAACCAGGAATTGTTCTTTAAGAGGAAATGCCCTTTTCCAAGTGCATGAGGCACTGAGGATTACTCCTCATCCCATGAAAATACATCCGAAAGATGCTTGGATGGATAGAAGGATGTTTAAATAAGCAAATAAATATATGGTATAAGATATACTTTAATCTACATATAATTTAAGATAAATCACAATCCATTCGTATGGTCTAAAACGTATCATACATCTAAGGCCCATAGAGAACTGCAGGGTTTTCAGCCGGGGACTGACATGATCAGATGTTTGTTTGCAAAAGATCTCTCAAGTGGTGCCTTGGAAAATGGACAGAAGTGGGGAGGGATGACAGAGCCAGGGCTAAAAGGCTATGCCCAGATAATTAGGAAGAAATTTAACTAAAATGCAGTTGTTACAATACGATGAAATACATTCCTCTTGTCTTATAAAAATAATTCCTTCAGAATGTCCAAAGAGGTCTCTGCTTCCTTCCTATTCCAACCACTCCCCCAAATAATTCAGTACAGAAGGGAACTTGATGTGGGTACAGAGAACTCAATCTGGCACTGGGTGGGGTAGCTTCTAGGGAGCATCGACCCCAGATACAAAAAACATGCACAGCCCAGCATGGTTCAGAGCGGTCATTACTACCTGGGAGCCACCTGCACTGGACTGAGGACGGACTCCTCCATGTGGGGAGAGAGGTTAAAGATCCGACTTCCCACTGCAGGCCTCAGCTCCCCAGCCCCAGCCCCAAAATAGAGAGCCTTTAACGTTGACAGACGAGCCACAACTTTTTCCCTGCCTGATGGTAGGAATGAATGACCTGTCTATGGCAGAGCTTACTCCCCTCCAAAGTACCTTATTTTGAGCAAAAACAGTTAACAGTAAACCACTGTGGGAGTGCAGCCAGGAGAAATATTTATGACTACTTTCCAGGAAGAGCCAGAAAGTGACTGGCCTGCAGGGGTGTAAGCTTTCTTTATTGTCCCCAGCTTGGAAGCAGTTTTCTTCCTGCCTTACGCTGGTCCAGCCTATACATCCCTTCCCACTGCCTCACTGCCCCTCCCAGGGAGTAAGATCAAAGCACAGAGTACAGATCCCTCTAGGCAGAGAGAGGAGTCATGCCCTGGGAAGCAGGCAGCTGACCTTTGCACAGCAATCAGCTTACTGCAATCTTGAAGCTTGAATCATCATGACATATGTATTGCAAACTTGTAGTTCAAGCCTGACCTTTGGGCAGTTGTAGATAGACTAGAATTGATGCAATAGTCTGAAAGTCCTGACACAGAGAAGTGAGCGCTCTGACTCAGGCTGGGGTGGAATACAGACAGGGGCCTTGAATGACAGAAGTAGGACAATGGATCTAGATTCAACCTCGGCCAACCTGTTCACTGGCTCCTTAGAAAGAGACTGGAGTTAAGGCCCAGAAGCAGGCTATGTGTTATTTGTAATTTGTCATAAGATGTATGTATGTTCATTAGCTCTTTAGTAACATGTGTTTATTTTATTCCATGGCTGGGGAAGGAAGGGGAGTGGTCAATCTCAAGAATTCTTTTGATGTCATAAGACATGTTCTGAGTTCAGAGCCCTCAAGAAACTGTTGCAGATGGGGGTCTGCCCTAGGTGGACCCCACTGACAATAACAGTCAGGGTCCTACTGCCCCCACCAGGGATGCTGGCTGGCCTGGAGTGAGGGGCCCACACTGCCAGGCAGACCCTCCCTTCCTGAGCTTCTGCCAGCCCCTTGCTAGTCTGGGCTGTCTCCTCACCTTCGTCACTGCAGCCGGGGCCCATGCAGGGCTGGAAGTCCTGGGTGTCAGGGCAGGGGACACTGAGGTCCAGCTGCGCCTTAAGCATGCGCTGCCGCATCCTCTTGCCTTTGTCGCAGGTGGAGGAGCTGCAGGCGGACCACGGGGACCAGTTGGAGTAGATGCAGGTTTCAGGGGTGTCATCTGGAAAGAGTGTTTGACGTGTTTTCCGTGGGAGCCTATGGAAGCTATAACTGGCTCTCTCCCCAGACAAGCTCATTTGGGACGAGGAAAGCCCTGCTGCTAGAGCAGCCTCAGTGAGGCTGGGTGCTCCTGGGATGGAAGCAGCCACTCACTTCTCTTCAAAAAGTATATTTTAACATCCTTCTAATAAATATCTAAAAATAGGAACGATTCTCTTACTATCCCTTCCTCCCAGTACAACATGAACGTCTTTTCATTTCCAGCCTCTAACCGTGGCAGACATCGTTTCCACACACGTGCAGGCATTTCATGGGCAGTTTTGGAAAGCGTAAGGCTTTTTTTAGTGTTGCAGCTTCATGTTCCCAGTGATCCCGTACACCGGTGTCAGGATAAGACTGAGGACAGCTGATGTTCGTTGAGCACTTACGATGTGCTAGCATCATTCTAAGAACCTTTTGTGTTTTATCCCATCTGATCCCCACAACAACTCTCTCAGTTGAGTTCTGTGAGTATCCCCATTTTACCATTGAGGAAACTGAGGTAGAAAGGTTAGCTTTTCGGCTAAGGTCACGGGACTAACGAAAGCCCAGGTTGTCTGGCTCCAGATCCCAGGAGAAAACTTGGGCTCAGACCATGGCTCTGCCACTCCCTCCTGACTGTAGGATCTGGGCCTCACTTGACTCGCTGGGGAAATGGACAAACCCGCACCTGCCTCACAGGCCAGTGTGAAAATCAAAGCAGAGCGTGGTCTGAATATTTATTTCCTTATACTTTGTACCTAGTCTTTCCCTTGTTTTTGATTATTTCTCGAGGAGAAATCCTCAGGGATGGGATTACCAGGTCAAAGGATATAAATATTTTTATGGTTCTTAAAACATGTTAACAAACTGCTTTCCCAAAGGGTCATGCCAATTTATGTTGCCACCTGCAACAGAGGGAAATGACATACCTTCATCTTTCTCTTCTGGAGCCAGGTCTGCTACAATATCATCGACATTGTCAGGTACGATATTGCATTGTTCTCCCTGCAAAAGGAATTTTACTTGGAGGGCTCACATTAAAGAAAGAAGAGAACATGTAGGGGAAAGATGAAGGAGGACATAAAATCTAATGCCCAGTGTGTATACAAATCCTACGCCATGGTTGAGTTCTGGGGCAACGTTTACAATCTGTCTGTTAAAGAAATGCAAGAAAGCAGAGCTGGCTAACCAGGGAGCCTGGCTCAAGGCAGACATTAGTAATCAATGGTGGAACTCACCGACGAAAACTATATGCCTGGATCAAAGCACTTACTTGAGCACTGGGCCTCACTGCTGGGTTCATTTTGCTCACTGACATCTTATAAAATAATTTGCAGACTGGAAACCCTGGGAGGCCTAGGAATTCCATGTCCTGAGATGCTTTCTGCCAGGGACCCCATGATTGTAGAGCAGAAAGGTGTACAGTCTACTTGGCACTCCTGGTGGAAAGGGTCCGTGCTAGGGTGAGCTCTAACCCAATACCTTCCGGGCGATTCTCTCGATGACAACTCTGGCTACTTGAGTGATGGACCCGCCCTCTGGATCATAGAAAGGACTCTGAGGATGGTCCAGACTGGTCAGGGGCCGGATTTTCTCCTGGGGAATTGTGGGTTTGTTGGGTGACTGCAGGAAAAACACAGAGACAGAGAGTGAGAAAACTGGTAAAACTCACAAAAGCAATTTGTTATATGGATCAGAACAAAAGCCTTGATAGAAATTTAACAGGTGGAACTGCTATTTATATTTGTGGAATTCTACTTATGCCATATGCCATGCTTGAAAATTTGTAGATCCATACTTTAAAATTCTTCTGCATACATGGTAGGGCTGTGCCAGATGAAGAAACCAGTTTCAGAGAGGTCATCCCAGCTAGGAAATGGCTGAGCCAGGTTGGCCTGAATCTAAAGCTCCCCCTACCAGACCAGGTGTTGGCAAACTTCTTTCTGTAGAGGGTCAGATGGTAAATATTTTATGCTTTGTGAGTTACAACTACTCAACTTAGCTGTTGTAGTGGGAAAGCAGCCCCAGGCAATATGTAATTGGACGAGTGTAGCTGGCTTCAAAAACTTCATTTACAAATCCAGATTGGCCTTGTGAAGAATAGTTTGCTGATGCCTATTCTAGATTGTTCTCCCAGTGGTTTTCTGATGGCTCCAGATTTCAAGGCAGTTTGTATGTTGACCGTATCTGAGAAATATTAACATTCAGGACAGAACCTAAACTCCTGAGCCTGGCTGTTTAGAAACCTGTGGAATCTGGTCTAGCCTTATGCACCTCAACTTCCGGCTGTCTCCCACGCTCTCTCTCGCTCACTCTTTCTCTTTGCCTCCATGCCCTTGGCGTGCTGTTCCCTCACTTACCCGTGAGCTGCTCTTTAGCAGATTCCCTCTCCATTGTCTCCTGGTCACTGTACGGATACTTCCCAGAACCCAAATCATACTATAGGTGATGATGAGATCATGCCGCCTCCTCTACCCCCCCACCAGACTGTAAGTTCATCTAGGGGAGAGCCTGGGTCACATTCACCTCTGTGTCCAGGACACTCAGAACAGGGCTGGGCAAGGAAGAGGTGCCCGGGAAGTTTGCCTCTCGCTTACCTCGTAGGTAACCCCGCTGTCGGTGCCGGCATCCCAGGGAATCAGGTCCTGCACCACCTTCTGGGCCCAGCCGCATTCCTTGGTGCACAGATCCTCTGCAGACAAGCCCACGTTCCAGTCGGGACTGGGGCCCATCATGGTCAGGAAGGACATCAAGTGGCGCGTCCTGTCCACTGAAAATTCAGCTGAAGGAGCTGCTCTCCTGGGAATCAAATACAGAAACCACTACATTAGGGGATCTGGGGTGTACACTCTGAGGGACATCTGGCCAGAGCAGAGCTAAAGGATGAGAGGGACAGAGAGGAGGTGGATTCTTGTTTTCCCACTGAACCCTGCCTTTGTCCACCACTGGTTTACACCCTTCTCTGTCCTGAGCCCATCCATCGGCCAAACATGGAGAGAACCATACACTAACACCCTGTCCAGTTTTAGTGGATCGACAGCATTTACTGCTATTTTGCATTTCCTTGCTTATTTTTTTGTTTAGCTGTTTATTGAATGTCATCTCTCACTGCAGTGTAAGCTCTGAGAAAGCGGGGCTTTTCTGTCTGCCTTCTTCATGGCTCCATTTCCAGTGCCTAAAACAGTGCCTGGCACAGAGTAGATAGTAAGAATTTCTGAGTAAATAAATGAACAAACACCGTGCTCTGTGTGCCCAGCTGTGTGGGGCACGAGATGAACTTCACAAATAAAAACTGCTTAACAATGTCCCAAGCCCTTCCTTACACATTCTCATTTAATTTTCACCCCTGGGGGAAGGATTATTGACTCTGATTTACAGATGAGGACTCTGAGGCTCAGGAGAGTTATGTACCTCTTCCAAAGTCACAAAGTTAAGTGGCAGAACAGAGACGACGACCCAAGTCAATATTAGTTCAAGGTCCATGCTCTTTCCATTACCAGTTTCTAACTCCTCTTCCCTGCTCCCTTTTTACTCACTGAGATCCACATTGTGCCATCAGGAGGGGGCGACACCCCAGCCTGCTGCCTCCACTGCCCTGCCTTGGCACCAGGGCCCACCCTTTGACTCATAGCTGGTTCCCTGGCTATTTCCTCCAGTTGGGAGCAGGGATCCAGCTATAGAGCCAGAGACAACTCCCAGCTGCTGGGAATGACATCCCAAGTCTACAGCTACAAGAGGCAGCTCTTCAAGCTCCACCTTCTGTATTGCTAGGAAGTATCGGGAGTGGCTGGGGCCGCATGCGATAGATGGTGGCAGCCCAAAGAGAGTCAGATTCCCTCAGCGCACACCCGGTGGCAGACCCACATAATTTCATTTCCCCCCCATGATAGTCCTGTGGGGTTAGAAGTATTACGCTGCTCTGTAGAGAGGCAATGAAAGTGTATAGAAGTTAATGAACTTAAAGACACAGCAAGTAGGAGCTGAGGCTTGAAGGCAGCTTGACCTGACTCTACCCCCTGCTAATTGTGGGGAACCCTTGGCTGGGGTTCAATCTAGTCTGTTCAGTCCAGCTGTAGTAGGAGCTGAGGCTTGAAGGCAGCTTGACCTGACTCTACACCCCCTGCTAATTGTGGGGAACCCTTGGCTGGGGTTCAATCTAGTCTGTTCAGTCCAGCTGGCAGCTGGTCCACCTCACCTGTCTGGGAGTCCCCGTGCCCTCTGTGGGAATAGTTGCTCTGGATGCCTTCACTGGGCCCCAGAAAGCGATGACTCCAGACCTGGCTGGGCCCTGTGGAACTGGACCCCATTGGGCTCTGGCAGCCAGATGGCACCAAACGAGCAGACAGGGAGGGAAGCCTGGGTGTGCATCCCGGCACCACCTCTTACCAGTATATATCCTTGGGCAAATTACCAAACCTTTCCGTGCCTCAGTGTCCAAATCTTTAAAATGGGGATTGCATATGTCTACTCCAAAGGGTTTTAGTTAGTGTTAAATGAGCTAGCATGCATACACTACTTAGCCCAGTGCTGGCACCTGAACTATTATTACTATTACTGTTACTGTAGGGTCCTATGGAGATCAGAAAGGAGAGGGGAGGCAGGAGAGGCCTTCCTGAATGGACTTCACGTTTTAGCCAGATGCCAGTCTAGGTCTGGCACGTGAGTGGAGAAAGAGCCTGGCCTCAGTCCTGACTTTGGCCTCAGCAGGTTGACAAGGGCCTCGCGCTGCCTCCCCCTCTGCCCTTCCCTGGCAGGCCAGCCTAGTTGCAGGTCCTACCTGCACTAGCATCTGCTGGGAATCTCTTCTTCAGTGGTTTGAAAAGTGTGGTCCTTGGACCAGCAACAAGGTCACATCCCTGGGAATGTGTTAGAAATGCAAATTATTGGGTCCCACCCCAGATTTAGTGATTTAGAGAATCTGGGGTTAGGACCTAGCAATCTAGCTTAATGATCCCTCCAGGTGATCCGAATGCACCTCAAATTTGAGAATCATTAGTCTACTCATCCTTCAAGCTTCAGGTTATGTGTCACCTCTTCCAGGGGCCTTTCTGATCTCCCACTGCCACCCACTGCCAAGGCACTTGGTCTGTATTTCCACACACTCTGCGCAGGTCTCTGTAGCCACACCCTATGACCGTAATCACTTCCTCACTGTTAGGTTTCCCCCATTAGACTGGGAGCTCCTTGAAGGCAGGAACCCTAAGTTTCACAGCTGCACCCCAGGACCTGGGTGACAAGTGGGCCGACTGAACAAATGATGCATGATGACTAGAGCTATCCCACTCACGGCTCTAGATCTTGGGTAAGTTACTCCCCCTCTTTGAGTCTCAGTGTCATCATTTCACAATAACTACCTGCAGCGTTGCTCTGAGGATCAAAAGAGATGCTTTATTAGGAAGTCTTTATAAATTGCTGAAGTACCACACTGACATAGTCTGCTATTTAGTTAGGATCAAATCGGGGGATTTAATTTCCTTTTCCCACGTGTGCATTTTCTGACACTAGGTCAGTGGTTTTAGCAGCTTCTTATAAAGACCTGGTTTCTACAATGATTGCAGTCTGGGGAGCTGTGGCATTGCTCACCTAGGGACTCACAGGACATGGTTTAGGTCTGTCTTGAAGTAGTTGCCAGGCAAAGAGCACTGGCATCTGGGTGGGGTTGCTGTATGTCCCAGCCCACCTTGGCCCTTGGACCCCAGGGGCCCAGCAGTCCCCTGGGAGGCAGGCTTCCTCTTCCATTGCTACAGAGACTGACTGGTCCACCTATTCCTTTCCTGTCTCCCTAAGTATGTGATGTTGGGTCAGGTTAGTCATTCATATCCTGTGCCCCACAGTTGACATTATTCACAATGACAACCTAAGGGGACAAAAACAGCTCTACTCAGGAGTCCAGAGCTGTAGAAACCAAACCAACTCCCACCCCAACACATCATCCCGATACTCTGCCCAGCCCATGGTTGTAACCATCTGAGAACGAAGCCCTGTGGAAATAACTTACAGCAAATGCATTTTGACCAAATCTGTAGTCTGAGTTGGGTACCCTCCAGACCCTGGTAAGTGTTTCAAGGGGTGGGAAATTTGGGGCAACCAATCCCTGCACAAAATGCCTGACCTTATCTTGGGTAATATGGTAAATATGAATCTATAAGGGCCTAGGAACAATTTTCTAGCATCTGCAGATACACCCTGCTTCTTTCTCTTATCCTTGACTGGAAAATTCCTCCCTGGCCCCCAACTTATGTAGTGCTTCCTGGAGGAAGCATTTCCTGACCTCACTCCAAATTGCTTGGGACCCCTATTCTACCTTCTCACAGCGTGCAGAACTCATTCTTTCCTTGGAATTTTTTGTTTGATATTCATCTTCCCTATTAGATTCCAAGAGAGTAGGAACCATTTTTGTCATTTTTTTTTTCCAACTATATTCCAATGCCTGGCTTAGGACTTGACATGAAGTGGGTTCTCTTCAAATGTTTGTTGAAATAAATGAATTAATCCAAGAAATGAATGTGGAGCTTTTGTACTTCCTTTGACCTTCAAATTTAATTAAACATTACTTCAAAGTATTTATTACTTCTATAATAAAGATAATGAAGTGGATAAGAATATATACGAATTTTCCTTAGGCAATGCTACATAGGACTGGAGTTGTTTAATATGTTCAAACTGTAATTTAAGTCTTTATTCTTGCTTTCTTATATGCCATGTCTTCCAAGATATGATATTTGGTTTCATTTTTCTATCTGGGATTTAAATTTGTATCAGTTTTTTAGCAAAGAGAGTTGATCAGCCATACCATATACCAGAGTGTATGATAAAGCATGATAATCAAAATAGTGTGATATTCAGGGTAAAACAAAAATATAAATTAGTGGCACAGATTGGGGATCCCCAAAACTATATATATATAAGGATTTATACAAAATAGATTCCTCAAATTAGGGGGAAAAAAGGATTGTGCGACAAGTGGGGTTGGGCTAAGTTAATTGCAATAAAAAATGTTGGACTCACATCTGATATCATATACCAAACAATAATCATCATAATAATAAAAATAAAAATAAACCCAGAGTCAAACAGAAAAAATCAGGTTTTCAGATCTTTTAGAGAAATGTTAATTTTCTCAGCTTGGAAACAACAAAAGCATTTATAAAGGAAGAAATTAACTAATTGAATTATGCATCAATTAAAAGCATCTGTATAATGAAAACAACAGTACTGGAGAGAAAAATGATGTGTTGGCAAAAATGTGTCTATCAAGTATTAACATCTATCCTATAGACACAGCTAATCCAAATCTGTAAAAAAAAGACTACAGTCCCAATAGATAAGAGAAAGTTATGAACCGACAATTCACATCAAAAAAATGAAAAACAAACGAGGACACGGAGAAATGTTTCCTCTTTTTAGCTTCAGAGGCACGTGGTGTGGAGGGAAGAACCCAGGGCGTTGGGACAGATAGAGCTCGATTCAAACCTTGGTTCAGCCACTTCTTTATTAGCTGTGTGACAGGGGCTTTTACCACACCATTCTTCTCAGTTACCACATCTGCAAAATGGGCACATCATCATATCTACCCCAAGGTCTTATGGTGAGGAAATTGTTTATCACTGTCGGTGACACATGCTAGGACTTGGTAAAGGTTTATCTCCTTCTTATTCAACTTTTCAAAGCTTCCAAAACATCACAAAAGAAGAGGTAAGAAAGGAGATTTTTATGCCTTTCTAGAGATCCATTATCCCCTTCCAAATTACAGATCCACACTAGAGAGTCTCAGGAGGGTTTCCTAAACCGCTGCTGCG